AAACCTGCAGCTGTTGAAACTGCCATGATTTAAACTTCCAAACTACAAATTATGTAAAATAAGACTATTTTAATGTAATGGTATTTTATTCTGTAAATGGCATTTTTTTCCTAGGAAATCCCTAACCCATAATTTAACACCAAAATTAAATGGCAAGTAATTTTCTTAAGCAACAATCCCCGTCTATCCTTAGCTGCACCAATGATTGCCAGTACGAGCTAATTCTTGTCTCGGTCATCAACATCCTTCATCTTAGGAACAAAATATACTTCAGAAGTCAATAAAAAAATGGCCATTTTAGATCAAAGAGGAGAGTTCCAAAATCGATGTGCTAATGGTTAAGATACGGCAATTGTATCGTTTTACCAAGTTCAGCACTTTTTCTTTTTTTTAGCTTTTGTACATTGTTTTATTGACCCACTCATAGCACAGTGACCCTTCATGCTCATCAGGGAGCCTGTATCCATACTAAAACCAGTGAGTTTATTATGGTCTGTTTCTTGGGCAACATGTTTCTGAGCATGAGATATTCCAGATAAACATCCGATCTGATTCAGACTGACAGAGAGGTAAATAAAAGATATTATCCCCAAAGATAACCAGACCCCCTCAGGAATTCCTCTAGTTTGCAGAAAAAGCTACGTGGTCCTCAGATTGCATTCTTTGTTCTATGAATACAAGTATCTGGGACCATTTTAACACTCAGTAGACACAGCTTTCATGTTTGGCTGAAATTCTCTGGGTCTTCAATGTTCACATGAGACCTAGGCTATTTTAGCACTAGGTAGTTAATAATTCAGATACACATTTACCGTGCTCAATTTTTTGAGAGACAACAATTAGCATGCTTTTCACATGAGAAAATATATAAGCATGAGAAAACCCTACAGTACCTGTGTTACAAAATCACAAGTCGAAGAAATCCCCAAAGTAAGCGTATTTAATAGCACAGAGATGCTAAAGACCAAGTAAACTGAAGCAACTTCGAAGGTTCCTCAGAGGTTCCCGTGCACTCCACCGGCAGAGTTCTGCTGCCACCTACGGTGAAGATGAACTTAAGAGACTCATTTCATTTTGGTAGGCAACATGTTTACAATCATTACCACTTGTCTTTGTTTTTTGTGTATATGTATTAAAAATACTTTCTCCTGAACTACCTGCTACTGATGATTGCTAGAGACAGGATGCAGGCACAGGTGGACTTTTGGCCTGGCTGTTTGTGCATTTTGGTCTCTAACCTGCTCCACCGTACAGCTTACCTGGGCTCAGGAACGTGACTGCCTGCTGCTGTTGGCTCAAAGGCTGGCTCCCACCTAGAACCCTGTTTCTGTACCCTGCTTAGCAGCCAAGGCATACGGCAGCCACCGGCAAAAAAACTCCCAGATGTGCTTTTCCTTCCTGCCCTGTTAGAGGAGCACAGGACAGTAGGTCAGTACCTCAAGCTTGTCCAAGGGTCTGACACAGCACTTGAGCCCTGGCATAAACTCAGGACTACGCCTTCAGGACACCTCTTCCTCCTCCTCGCAAGCACAAGTGCAGTCCACACACCCTCTCTACATGCCGTGCCAGGTTCTAGTTGCTGGCCCCGAGCAGGAAGCGCTGCTGCCCAAAGTGGCTTTCTTGCGTGCACAGAAATTGGGTGACTTCTTTCAGGAAGGCGGCTGCAGGAGGCACAGGCTGGCACTCCATGAACAAAACTGAGGCAAATTGCAACGGTACTCGCATCCCTCTACAACTGAAGAAGCTTGGCACTGGTCATTTCACAGCTCTGCGCGCCCTTCTACACCCTTTACTGTCCATCTACCCTGGCACCACACGTACGCCCTCGGTTCCTCCCTCTCCAGCAGTACCAAGGCAAGACACGGGCATTAGGCCACCGCTGGCCCCCCAAGGTCACTTTGCTGGGAATGCAGCCCACTGGGCATCATTGCGCTCCCTCACGCTCTCATTTTTCCAATCCTGTCCATGCCTGTCTCATTGTTCACTATTTCTCTTCCAGCTTTAGGAACACGGTTTGCACAAAGGGTAGGTTTCCACCTGCGGCAGTGCTGCATCAAGCAGCACAAACCAGGAGCTCTGCAGTCGGTCCTGGACAGCTCGGTGGCTGCCTGGGCCAAGCAGCTGGTGAGGTCTTCTCCTTCACCTCGAGGGTTTTCAACCGTTTCCAAGCCACTCGGCAGAAAAGAGAATCTCTCTCTTGGAACCGCAGTTGTAGTAGAAGCCGATTGCCCAGGCAGTCGTGCTGAGGCCAAAGAGGACAGGTAAGTGTGGGTGCTGATAGGTCTCCAGCAAAACCAGCATCAGAAGAACGAGGCATTCCACACTGGTTGCTGTGCCAGAGGGTACGCCTTTTCAATCTTCTGAACTCACAGATCCAACCAGGATCTACTGAAGTCAGGGTTGCTCGTAGCACGGAGCTTGCAGCACCAACGAGAGCATCAGCACTCAGATGGCACAGTAAGTAGCATCTGCAGAGTAACAGGGTAATTCACAGATTCCTTGGACAGGTGCCCAAGGAAGGGACACAAGACACGTGCAGAAATGGAAGCTGTACGATGGCGTCTGCACGACTCCCGGGTTCAATCCCCCTCCCTCTCCATCGTTACAGGAGCTGCCTGAAGAAAAGCGGCTGGGTTCCCTGGCAGTTTGGGCCTTCTCATCACATTAGCTGGTTTCTCAGGAAGCAGGTTTTTTTGGGAGCCAGCTGGGACGAAGATCTAAGTCTGTGGTCCTCAGCTCTGTAGCTAAGCTGCTGTTACGCAGCAGAAATCACAAGTACTGTCTAAACAGTAAAGCGAGGCGACAGAGTAATCGGTACCTTTCTCTGAGTACTACACAGCACGTTCAGCGGGTACGTTCCCAGCAAACCCTTTGGCCATCATCTGCACATTTCCAAGCTTCTCCCCTACTCTCGGCAACTCCTGTTGTCCTTCCATCTATTTTAGCAGACAGAAGACCTAACCTCCCAGTTACTACACGATTAGCACACATATTATTTCAGGGCAGTCAACAAAAGTGTGTTTAAACTGGGGTTTTGGCCCCAGTTCACGAGCCATCAGAATATATGACAGGCTCAACTGTTTGGAAAGAACGCAGGACAAAGTCCTGGGTCTATCACACAAGCTCATTGTGTTTCTACCAAGAGATCTATCTTAAAGAAGTTTAAATCAAGGGACAATATCCTGACTTCAGATACAAGACCAACTCTACCTTAAGTGAAAATACTCCCAGTTTTGTCTTAAAAGCGACAGATTCCAACCCAAATGCCAAAACCTTCTGTGATCCCATATGGAAGCAAAGCATCACACTTATTTCATTGTTCTCAGGGATAAAGGACAATACTTGCACACTGGTACTTTTTTTTCTTTTTTTATTGCTGTTAATTCAAGGAAAAAGGTTGCATAAAATCCAATCTCTTCTAGAAATATAAGTGACCTTTCCAGTACATTTCAAATATCAAAGTATATGGTAAACATACAAATAAAGAGAAGGTAACATACCTCCTATTTACAGTACAGTATTTTAAATCATAAAATAAGTTCCATAAAGTACAACTGGCAGGTAATTCACAATACAAGTCCATTGGTGGTTTAACACCCTCACTTCAACTCAAACGCAGTTCATTCATTTCAAGTGGTCCAAAAATACCCAGATCAAATAAAAATTTTAATCAAAATAATTTTCATTTACTACTTAAACTTTTTTTTTTTTTAAATTAAAGCTTTCATCTACCTCCCTCCCCATTCCCCCCCTCCAAGAAAAAAGTTTCAAAATGTACACTGGTGCTATAAATATAAATGCTACCTATGAAGAAATGTAGTAATCAAGCTTTTTTTTCTTCAAGTTTTTTTTTTGTTTTGTTTTGTTTAGCAATTTATAAGACAGCTGAACCAAAGATTGATTTTATTTCATCCCTCTACCGGACACCAGGTCTGATTTTAAGAAAAAACATTTTTGCCATGAACTGTGAGGAATGCCAAACCCTATGGATATACAGTGGTAGTTGTTCATCGGTGTTGAATGCAGCAGTCAAAAAATACACTCATCTTCCAGATAACCTCAGTGCACTTTAGGAAATCAAATATTACCTGGAAGCAATTTAGTACATATATTGGCTTTTAAAAATAAAATAAAAAATACAGCAGCATTAAACTTACTTACTCATGATACTGACATGATTAATACCATCTTAACACTCATTTCAGTCTTTCACATTATACCGTAATTACGCATAGTGGTAAATTGTTATAAAATAGTGACTTTGCTATTTGGTAGACAGGTTCTAATACTAATACCTGACTATTTTGTAGAAAACCATAGCTTTTGTTCAGTTTGAAATAAAACATTTACATTCTAAGTACAATGCAACACTGTAATAGATTAGGAAAAAATATTCAATCAAGTAATGTTCATTCTGTGTTGACACGATGTAGAATAGCTTTTAAAAAAGGAAAAAAATGCTGTCAACTTTCATTACAAATGCAAACACACTGAGTACAACATTCATACCATTTTTTTCACCTTTGTTGCTGAACATACAGGCTAAAAAGCTACAATGGAAGAAAAGGCTGTCGACTGAAGCTCATTCATTTTTACTAAATCTGTTCCAGTCCACACAGTTTCAGTCCCTTCCTGCTCTATGTATTTGTTTTCATTTGGGACTCTCAGGAGCTGTGTATACGTATTATCATCAGATACAGCACACACGTAGTACTGTGTGCTCCTTTGGACTCTCCTAATGGGACTCTGAACATCTCCCCTCAATTCATGAGCATTAATGTAAGAGTACGGGAGGGTCTGTATGAACTGCTAAACACTCATGCAAGTCCAACGAATCCACGTGGACAAACAGGGACAGAAAATAAAACAGCAGCATAAGGAGAACGGGGAGGGAGGGAAGAAGATTGTGGTGGGGAACATGACCAAGTTTCTTCTTTCACCATATGGCTGCTCCACCAGTGATGTCAGAGGTCAGAGGACTTTTTTTTTTAAAAAAAAAAAAATGCAGTAAACATTGCACATGTCTCAAGTCTTCAGTGCAAAAGCATGGTTCGAATGCTCTTTTGGATTGTTTGGCTGTGTGTCTGAATTACATGCATTACGCAAGCCTTTTGTAGAACCGGGAGGAGACCAGGGACTCAGCTTTCTTCTTTTGTATGGAACAGAGGTGCAAAAGCAATGAAAAATTCCGAAAGAATATAAAACCGGGAATGTCCCAAAACACAAGACCAACCGCCCCCCTCCCACACACACCTTCTCCCACTTTCCCAAGCTTCAGTTTAAGTAGGCAATGTTTACTTGTTTCAGTCTGCAGAATCCAAGGTATCATTGGAAGGGGGAGGGGGAGGTGCGTATCTCAGTCTGTAAGTGCCTAAAACAGGAAAGAGAACTACTAAGTCACTGCTCACAATTAAAATGGATTACAAAACCACCACAAGGTATCAAAATGGACATGCTCTTCAAAAGGCACTATCATCCTCCAGTCCTTTAAAAGTAGGTCCTAAGATTTTACACGGTTTTCTTTCATCTGCTCGCTAAACCCGCAAGTTCAAAAAGATACAGACCGTAGGTATAGGACTTCACTTTTATGGGAAAAATGCAAAGAAAAGAAGATCCCCATCGAGGTTCACCTTTCCTGTTCCAGTCCGACCAAACAAGTCAGAATGGGCACAGGCCAAGAATCAAAATTAGTTTTTGCTCTATGCAAACGCTGTGTTTTCTCATTTTTCCGGATGGAGAGAAAAACGGCGTACAAGACTGAGGCCATTCCTTTGATTTTTAGTTCCAATTGATTTCTGCCTCTGTACTGCGACTTGTCTGAAAAGTTAAAGCATGTTTCGTTTATGTACGGCAAGATGGGGCACAGAACGACGGTGCGAAGATAAGCTTAGGGAAAGTTAAGTGATCAAATGGCCAGTCTTTTTTTTTTAAAAAAAAATGTTCACAAGTTCTGAGAATCAAAGTTCATACAGGACAGTAATTGATACCTTTCACTTTTTTGCCAATGAATTCTCTCCGAAAAAAACCCACAATGAACAGGAATGGAAAAATTGAAACAACATGCAAGTCTCAACACAACGCCAAAACCAAACCAGTGAAAAAAGAATGACATTTTAGGACTGATAGTCTGACTTCCCAGCTCCGAATCGTACCCACTTTCAACTTTACACTGTGAACCCTGTTCCCTTGCACTGTTCTACAAAAATTTCAGGCAGAGATAAGATACTTTGCAGCTTTAGAGCACGTCACTAATGCACAACCATTTACACAAAACATACACACGCACGCACACCTTTCTGCAAGACCAGAAACAGCACATTCAGAAAGGTAAAGAGAAACCACTAAACTCAAAAGCAAGTCCGCTGGGAGTTATCATGATTACCTTGTTGACTGGCCTCCATGGATGACTGCTTACAGTCCTGCGCATAGTGTCCACTTACACCACAATTGTAACACGAAACGTTCCCATTCTTCTTGGGTCCCGACCCATTTGTGTTGGCAACTACGTTAGGTGCTGGATATACAGGATAGAACCTCCCGAATCCTGCCATCTGCTGCATACCATAGTTGGCTTGGCTCCCCATCACTGGGTCATGCATAAGCCCGTTTGCATACGGAGACTGAGGCAGGAAGAAAGGAAGTTGTGTCCCATTGCTTTGATGTGCTTGGTTGAGGTAGCTGCCATTGCAAAGTGATGGCAGAGTGAAGAAAGATGGAACTCTGTAGACTTGTCCATGAAGTGGGTTATGATAAAAATAGCTATTAATCTGAAGGCTTCCATTGGTCCCACAGCTACACCTACGTCCACAAGAACCGCAGGGACCAGATCCCAGCTGCTGAGGAGGTAACATTGTCCCGTTAGTGTTGTTATTTCCAACAGCGTTGATGTAGGACGTGCTGTCGCTCTGTGCAGTGCTGTGTGTTAAAGCAGGGCTCGGGCTGGGGGCAGGGCCTGGCGTGTGTGTCGGTATTGCGGGAGGAACAGTGGACTGGACCTGACCAACACCTAAACCAGCCGACTGAGGCGGGGAGGAAGTTGCTACAGTGTTCAGCACGTTTGTATTCTGGTTGGGCAACACACTGGTAGCGTGAGGACTGCCTGGCAAAGCGTATGAAGCTGGTGGAGGTGGCGGTGCTGCTGTGGAGAGGCCAGCTGCTGGAAGAACTACCTTGAGATTGGTAGGCGGAGGGATTGCTCCTGGGTTTCCCTCAATGTGAGGCACCATTTGATTCAGTCCTACCACCTGGGACGCAGGTTTTGTGATGGGATCTGTAGTAGGAACTGGGGATCCTGGGAAACTACCTGGATTGTGGACTGGGATAAAGGCAGTACTTGGTGATCCGATACTTAAGTTTCCTGTCGGCTGCTGCGGTCCGTTAACTGTGCAACTTTCCGATGATCCCTGTGGAGAGGGCATTTTCAATCTATGTATTGCCAAATGCAACGCCGGGCTACCAGGCTGGACCGAATGCGGAAGGAAAGTGGATGGGACTGGCAGAGGGGAAGCCATCAGCTCAAGGCGTTTCTCGGGTTCACCAGAGGCCCCTGGGCCCATTCCACCAGGAGGTGAATTTGCAGCCTCTCTCACTGGCGAGACAGCAACAGGCGTGGTGACGAGCATTCCCATCGTTTTGCCATCTGCAGATATGGGTGGCGGGACAACTGCTTCAGGCTTTTGGGCAGCGCTGTGCATCACACAATGTAAGGCAGGCATGAAGGAAATATGCTGAAACTTTGCATTCAGAGGATCTTCTGGAAGGCTTCCATTCTCGTTGTTCACTGCAGAAATCTGAGCAGATGATTTGCTCATATTTGATGAACTGACAGCACTGTAGCCTGTAAACCTGGTTGTATTTTGATTCCCAGAGTCCTCAGAATTGCTGTCTGTATCTGTGGAGACAAAAGCATTTGTCAGAAGACCAAATCTGGGACTACACAGAATCATGCCCTGGACTCATTTACCCTTATAAAACTTCCTAAGTCTGATAACACAAACGATAGTTATGCCTTCCTGAACAGTAATAAGTCTGACGCTGTTTTCATTCATCCAAATCAAGCTGGGTAAATCTCCATCACTAGCCTGTATCAAACTGCTCAACCAGCTACTGTGTCTTTGACTTGTGTACATTTGGAAATATGAAGAGTAGGGCACAAACCAAATTAGGAATTTGCATCTACCTAGGGAGACATTAAAACAGCTTACTCCAATTTGGAAGGAGTGGCAAACTAACCTGTCAATACAAAAAGAAGGACCTCTCAGGCATGCCACAGAGAATTGGATATAAACCCAGTACCTTTCAAGTTAAAGCGTCTCTCCTTACCGTGCTGCTGAAACCTCTCACGAAAGCTATGCCACAGAAGCCACAAGACTTCTACATATAGGCAGTAAGCTAAAACTCAGTGGTACTTAAAACAGTCCTGCTAGAAGCCTTCAAACTGTCCAGTCACAAACCCCACAAATCAAAAAAATTCGGTGGCTGGTTCAGAAATAAAAGCAGTTAATTAAAACTGAGAAGCCAATTAAAATTAGTACAAGAAAGAGAGGAGTCTAGAAGTAAAGACATTCATGCACACTCTCCATAAATACAACCTCTGTCTTTTTCTTCTTCACTATCAAAGCTTTCCCTCCCATCATGTCGTGGACTAGAAGGAGAACTGTAACTTTCAGATGATGTTTCTCCACACGTATCGTGGCCAGATCCAGCATCCAAATTCAGATCTAAAAATAAAAAATTGGCATTTTTATTTTTAATCTCAGCATAGGGAAGTGAGGTTATTTTGGTTTGCTCACATCTCACGCTAGTTCAGATTTTTGTTTGCTTCTACTTAATCGCATGTGTTCCCTGCATTCTTAGCATCTCCACTCCCAGCATCCAGGACTGGTCTTGTCTCTGAACTTGCAACGACTGAACGCTTGGTGTTAAAGTTGGTGACACTGAAAATTGATATTTATGCAGAGTAGTAAAAAGAATGATCACCCTTAATAAATTTTGCGATGCTTATACCAAATTGCACTACGATAACGACTTCCTTTGGAAGATAGAGATCAAATGTTTCCATTCAAAGAGATGCAATACTCCTTGGTCGTACTAGCACAGAGAGAAAGCCAACTCAGCGGGCAACGTCAAAATAATACGCTGAACAGCCTTTTGTATCAACAAAATCCAGTTAAAGAAAAAAGAGGTGAACTGAAAAAAAACCCCATTAAATTGTTTTCTAAATTCTGAATGAGAGATCATGTGAAACTCATTTGGTGGAAACCGGCCTTCCGGGTGAGGGTAGATCAGTGAAGCCAGGTAGGTAGCCAGTATGTGCTGGCTTTCATGTTCAGCCTCAGAGGTGAAAGAGAGAGTCACCCTCTCTCAGAACATGTGCCAGACACCAGCTTCAAGGAAATCTCAAAATCTCCATTTGCAAAACTCCAAGACAAAAATTACAATACTTTTTTTATTTTATTAATTTTAATAAAGTATTTTATTTATAACTTATTATTTCATTTGTTATTGCTACTGCAAGTTTAACAGATTGGGATAAGTAATCAAAAAACTGCCTTAATGCTTCAAATCTCAAAATCATTTTCTAGATTAAGCCTGTAATTGGTCAAGCTATTTTAAGAAGTGCTTTGAATATCTCACACAACCTGGAGCAGCAGAGCACTGAAAGAGTCTAAATTGCTAGTCCCAAAGTATCAAGTCTTCAAAGTTTCAAGCGTAACTAACTGATGCCTCAGAAAAGCTAAAAATAGCAGAGGGGAAAAAGGGAAGAAAACATGACGCAGTTTGGAGTTACCGATTCACAACAGAGCATTTCAAACCAAGCCTGGGCATATAAAGCTGGGCAGAGATTCAGACTCCAACATGACTTTTTTTTTCTTTAGACTATGTCTCCAATAGTACTCTATCTCACAAGACTTTTTGACGCTTGTACACAGATGCACAGGTACAAAGTTCATCTCTGAGCAGGATTTAGTTGCTTCCAGCCTCCACAGGTTGTGGTTTCTTCTTAAACTGGCCTTAACTAGCCAACAGCATCAGGCAGAGAGTTTTGTACCTGTAGAGTGGGTAGTGAGCAGACAGAACCCCTATGGCAAAACATTCCCTATTTAGCTTTGCATTATGTCACACTAAATTGCACCCCCTCTTAAAGTTACTGTCAGTTCATAAAAGCTCAGTGCATTTTGCCTGACAGGAACAGTAATCAGTCAGAAATGTACACAGCACAACTCTGCTGTAGAGCATGTTTTGTGCTCGCACAGGCCCTAGCTATAGCTTTCTGAAACTGTCCTGGTTTTTCCAAGTTTGTGAACTGTGAAATTGTAAAGGTTTGTCAAATACTTCTTGTAGAAGGTAATAAAAACTGGCCATAAAACACATGACAATAATTGAGAATGGGATCCACCCAGATCTCAAAGGTGAGAAGAAAGAATGAAAATTTATTCGAGGTGGCACAGTCAATGGCTAACCCATCCCTTCAGATATTTTTAATAAAGTTTGGAGACTCAGTTTGCTAAAGGAACAGGAATACCATTTTGTCCTATAACTGACTGATGTACACACATCTTGTCCTAGACACTAGATTTCGCTGGATTACCCGAACAGGAAAAGCCTGTTAGGGCAGCACGTGCAGCTCAGGAGTCCCTGGGTTTACACGCTGCAGTTTGTCGATGGCTGGCACCAGAGGGTTTTTATACAGGTTCCTCGTGGGCCATTCCACGACAGCCGAAGAGACCAGTGAGCTGAAAGGAGAACGCTAATAACAAGACACTGGACCTCTACACACTCAGACTGCTAAATTTCATAGAGAAGTAGCCCAACAGCAACTGCTCCTGCAACTCTGCTTCACATAAGACAACTTCTGCAGACTTTAACATATTTCCAGTTATGGATGAAAAGAGACGAACCCTAAGTAATGGCATAAGGAACACTGAGTCTACCGTGCTCTATAGAGCAAATCAAAGCACAGATGAGACAGCCGACATGGTGACTTGCACCAAAACAGATTTCAGACTTGTAATTTCCCCCTCCCAGCAGAACAATGAATAAATCAGCAAAGCTGGAAATTTTGTTTCGTACAAACAGCCCGGGAGAAAACATCTCACCTTTTCCTGTCCCCATACGGATGTGCTGTGATGCTGCAACTCTAACTCCGTTCGTCCTGTTATTCAACCGGCAGTCAGTTTTCTTTGCTTTCTCCCTGCGTAAATAATTTTCGTCTTGGTTTCTGTTTTCAAATGCATGGGGACAAATAACCAAGCATGAATGAACATATAATGCCTCTGCAAACAAAGGTAGTGACTCCAGGCCAGAAACAGATATTTAATAGATAAAACAACAAATGCAGATAATAATCAAATAGGGAAAGGTTGTTAGTGCAATATACCGGGAACTAAACTTCAAGCAGTGTTACTAAACACCATGAATAAATATCTAAAAAAGAAAGCACACAAAAAAAGAAATGGCGCAGCCGATACTAAAATCGTCTTCGAAAGCTGATGTGCATAATGCAGCCCTACACCAGACTAGCATAAAGGCATCTGGCTAGAGAGTTAAAAAAATCACAGAAAATCAGCTTGGAAGTAGACAGAGTATATATAGATAAGGCTGGAAATGTTTTCACTTCCTCACAGTGCAGGATTGTGTAGCCCCCACAAAGTTCTGAAGCCCTCTGATGTGTAAATTATCTTCAATAAAACATTTCAGCAAGTTACCACCCACTGTGTAATGTTAAAGGTTGCTGTCAATCCTTATTTCATTTTCAGTGTTTTCTGGACAGCCTTACACCTTTTAACTTTCAAATAAATATAAAGGGGAAGAAAGGCAATTCAGCATCAGTTCAGAATCTACTTCTGCTCCTTCATCTTTCTGCTCAATGACAACTGATATTTTGAGAAATTAATGCATACAGTTACATTCTATTTTCAAGCTACTTCTTTTCAGAAGATAAAATAAGGATTTCTATGTAGACTGGCTTCGCGCTATGCCATGCTATGCCAGCTCTCGTTCCGCAATAGCAAAACAAAGCACCTAATTGACTGTAGACTCTGCTTATCAGAGTGAAAACATTACATTTTTTTCTGGATTACTGGTTACATTGGAAACCTACTTTTCCAGCTGTGGCTTTCCTTTCTTCTTGCTTACTGTAGACAGACTTCGTTTTTCCACTGTGTGCTAGTCAGAAAATACAAACACACCCGTCAAACAACAGAACTTGTACCATGAAAAACCCCTTTGAGACCGACAGGTCCATGAGCCCAAGACTAGTGCGTTCACAGGTGCCCCAACCAACCAAACAACTAGTTGTAGGGTGCATCCAGGCCTTCAGAACAATGCACCTTGTCTGGTGTTTACGCCATTATCTGCAAAACACTCAACGAATTACTACTTGCAAATGTTCCAAAGGTATCAGTCAAATTATTGTTTGCATGCTCTCTTTCTTCTTGAGGATAAACACACACCTTCTAAAAAGACTAATCTAAGGACTTAAGAGGCCACATAAATTAAGTGGATTTATTTGACAGTTGAGGGGTAGGAAGTATATACGGCAAATAATTTTTACACAGTGAAAAAAGCAGGTACCCGGCCTTAAACAGGAGGTTGCTGCTGAAGTAAAGTCTAGAATACAACCCAGAAGCTCATAAGAAAAAACATAGCATCTGCATTTGGCAAAGGAGTGAAATTTATGAAAACAGAAATAACCTCTGCCCAAATACTCTGTATTTGGACATCCTTTAAATAGGAAGTAGCTTTTCCTGTGCTGTAGAATATTACAGCTTTTTCTTGCCTCAAGCTTGCCAATATTTCAAGCTGTGATGCAGTCCACCATTTCATCTTTAGAAGCAAATCTCAGTTCATTATCCTGCTTTGCAAAGTAAGGAAACTGGTTTTGTTTGACTTGCTGTTCCTCACGCAATAATCAATAGCCACATTCTATTCCATGTAGAAGAGTAATATTAAGCAATTCTATCATTCAGATGTAAGCAGTGAGTAACTTTTCTTCTCCCAATTTCAGAAGATCGTTTATTTACAAATGATTATTCTTCTCAACTATACTTGCACCAAAGTTGACCACTGAAGAGACACAAATCTCAGAAAGCGTACACGCATCTAGCTATTAACTTGATGAATACGTAGTTAGATAAAGCAGGTAAGATAAAACACTTTTAACCTGCTTTCCATATGGTTTAGTTATCAATATGGCTTCTAGTTTGTTCCTTGCAATAACACAGAAATTCCCCAGGCATTCTGAAATTCTCTCTGATGACAATATATAACATGAAAAGTGTCTGATTAGAAGTGAACATTAGACTTTTCTGATTACTTAAACTTACTGGGAAATTTTATTTACAAATTCATAAATAAAATATGCACCTTTATGAGACAGTGGTAAGTAATAACAAGGGGTTTTCTAATCAAGTAGGTCAGTAGCAACTTTGACACAACTTTAGCAGGGCTTTTCACCTTCTAAAGCTAAATCTAATCACGGGCAGTGGACAGTCTTCTCAAGTGTCTCAGAACTACTGTTTTTAAAGAACAAACAGCCACACACCTGGTCAAGTAGGTTTGTACAGTGCTCTGGGTGCTGCTGGACAATACAGCTTTTTCTTCTCCAGTCCATTACCCCGTTTTGCTCAGAGTGCTGTAAGTTAAGGCTATCCAGTGAAGAACATTTTGCACTGCTAGTGCTGCTGAAAGGAATAAACACAAGTTACGCCAGTGTGAACAAACTTGACAGGCTTTTCTTACCAACGTACGTGTTTTTGCAGCATGTTGGGAAACTGTGGTATCTTGCTTTCAAAAAAGCCTAGATATTCTCAAAGAGATTTAAAAGGTGTAAATTACAGGAGTTTTTCTGCTCTAAAGTTATGCTAATGATCTGAACCTAACTGGAGTTCCTTTTTCATTTGTCTAGTACAATCCGATGCAAAATTCAAACCAGAATTTGCAGAATATGGTACTTGAGAGAAGAGATATCATGGATATTTCTGCACACACAGTCTTTTGGTTCACCTTTTTCATACTGGACGCGGGCTAATTTTCCAGGTAGAGGATTAATTCGGAATACATTCCTATCTTCCTTATCATTAATGACAAACCTGGAATTACTCTGTAACCCCTATTTCAGAATTCATGAGATATTTAAGAAAAGAAGCGCATGGCTACTTACAGATCGTACTGCAGCTGCGTGCATTTGAATTTCAGAATAGTTGTCTTGCTTTATGTTTTTACCTGCAGAATTGCTAGTTTTGAGTAGTGCCGGGAAAGAGGAGCTGCGTATGGCATTTACTGGTTCTGACAGAGCCAGTAGGGCACATGGACCTGTAATCTTTTCATCTGTTGTACAAAACCATGTCCTACTACTAACTGGATGCCAAAAAAAAAAAAAAAAAGGAGTTAACACTTCTAAATTCTTGTCAAGATACTCATGCTGATAATTGCACATGCCTTTTAATTCAGGGCTGTCGGCAAGCTGCTTCATGAAGGTTACAGCAATATGAAATGTTACACACTTCCCGTGATGGCAGAAATCTAGCTCACTCCAACACACTGAAATTCCAGCAGCCACTTACCAATCGGCTCTGGAAACAAGCACTCCAACTACTTATAAGATGTACAATAGAATATTCAAACCATAGTTTAACAAAGTGACAAGAACTCAAGAAGGTCCCAAAATGAGCCCCTGACTGCATAAACATAAGCAAGGTCACTTTAGAAACCTCTGCCAAATGGAATTAAGTGAATCCACTGCAAAATTTGCAGCCATTTCACGTAGGCTGTGATGCTAAGTTTTTTATTCTGTATGTCCTATCTCATTTCTACCCAGTATATTTTTGGACCTTTTCAAGAGTAAGGCTGCCATACTGAAAAAAACCCCAAAGGTAAAATGACGCAAAATATAAATTTTCCTGAAATGAACCAAAGCTATTTGAGATTAACTGCTCTTGACTCTCAACAGTTTTATTCATATTGAAAAGTTTCATTCAGTACCATTTCTTTACAACCCATAAAGAGCAGGCACAGATTTTAAGACAGAGAGACACATAATGCAAACAGGAGAGGACTAACAGACCTCGAGCTGTCAAGTAGCAAACACATTTTCTCCTCTTAAATAAACAGAAAATAATAGCTAGCAAAAGGAGTTTCTACCACGGAAGTCTGGGAAAAACTCTGCCGTGTCTTTCCTACCTGAAGGACAGATCCTAAACTACAGTCAGTGTTCGTATACAATGAATAAGGAGAAAAAGACTTTTTTTTTTTTAATTAGCAACTATAAGCTACTAAGTGTGGTTCTCACTCTTACAACTTCATAGTAGGCTGTATATCCACTTGTATAATCAGAGGTTTTGTCAAGATGAGATTCTCTTCTTGAAGAAATAAGTTGTGAATAAGTAGGAGGGTTAAAAAACAAAAGAGAACCAAACCACTAAGTTGTCCAATTGGTAATTTCACAAGAATCTTATCTGTTAAAAATCCATGAACTTTAACCAACATTGTTTTTTGCTATGTTTATATTCTAACTGCTGCAATTCCAGTTAATTTTCTCCCCTTGGCATAAACACATTTTACAGGTAACACAGAACAAAACTGTAAACCACAATAAATTCTGAATCCATTTTTTCTCTTAAATGAGATGAAGTACTGCACAACTATGTGCCAACATCCAAAGTTTCTGGTCAAAATACATGAATGGGTGCATTCACATTGCATACTTCAAACATCTGAAAGCACATATAACCATATTAAAGTAGTTTAAGAAGGGCTTCAAGTTCAAATGGATGTAAAACAGCAAGGTATACAAGCTTTTCCTACTAAGTAAGGGAAAGAACGGGCTCCTAAAGTCATCTTTGAAGCTACTGAAGTAAAGCTTAAAATCAACAACACTGGAAATTTTCAGTATATGCATGGGTGTGTGTGCAAATGGGAAAAACACATGTGTAAAAATTTATGTTACACAGCTTATAAATACAAATCAAAACATCAACTCAAGTAGTGAAGATCTACAAAATTTGGGAGACAGTTCCAAACAACCCAGACATACAGACTGGGAAACAGGATCTTTGAACTATTTTCTTCTAATACAGATTAACTTAATAACCTCTCCAAACTACAAAAAAATGAAACAGTAACACCCCAAACAAAAAACTCACAAACAAGCTTTAATCTAGAAGGAAACACATATTCTCAAAGCACTAACAAAAGAAGTTCAGAAACGAGTGATGGTCACGTTACATCCCAGTACCTACTTGGCAACAGGACTTTTTCCATTATGTTTCTTGTGAACCGCTGTGTGTTGCATTACATCTGGAAAAAAAACCAAACAAAGCGCAATCTCAACAGTAATTCCTATTTCCTCTTTTAGATCAATCCAGCAAATTCATCTTTCCATCACTACCAGACTTGTAGCAGAAGACATCTCCGTTAAACAGGCTGAGTCTAATTTGCAGGGCTGAAATTAGCAGGTGTTGCACAGAGACCAGCTCAGTTTGTGCAGACAGTACAGTCAAGACTCTCTATGTTCCACTTCACAGAATGAAACAGGAAAATAGGAACTGTAAAAACCATTTATGTTTGCTCACCTTTAGGTTTAGTCACAAGGACTAAATGCGTGACTGAATATCACCCAGTATGAAAGGATGGAAAGAGAAGATAGGGTTCAGTCAGGAAAGTACGGAATTCTATGTTTGTTTTCTGCCCTGCTAAAATTCATCTCAAAACTATGTCACACTTTGAACAGCCAATGAAAGAAAACAAGTCTTACACGGAAGTACTGCATTCCGAACCTCAGAACTCACTATGCAAGTACAGCTTTACAAATTACATGATAAAAAGAGACAGTGCTTCAAACAAGAAATAAGAACTTGTGACACATAGTCTACCTTTTCTTTAAGGCAACTGTTAAATTTTAACAAAACCAACTTTTCTCAATTCCAGCTGTTGATGATCTTAGCCTTCTTGGTATCTATCATTTTGCCTCAACTCCTTTCAATGCTACATATAAGTCCAAATGATGATTTGCAGTGGAAGAACTTACAATTTTTGAACTTCTGGTAGCACTTCACTAAAATGGCACAAGAGGTGTTCTGAAGGCATCTGTAGTTTCATCAGTGAATAGAATTAATTTTTTTTTAGGACAGTCTATCAAACCACTATTTGAGCAATCTCCAAATACACTGCAAATTTACTTGGTCCATTCAGAACTCTAAAGAAGAATATGATAACGATTTTCTTAAATAGTAAAAAGCTGTCTGAACTGCATATGTGGATTACTGATTGCACGTAAGTTCAACTGCAAGCTTTTTATTAATGTGTAACAGGAAAAGGGTGTAGTGTCATTTTGTGAAGACTAGTGTGAGTGTTCAGTGGTCCATGTTCAGCTGTCAGTCCCTCTCCACCCACCAGAGGCTTGCACTTGTTTGCCACTGAAAGCAATGCAAAACTGGCTTGCCATTCCTTTCAGAATAAAATTACTGACCAGCCACGAGGCTGCTGTTCCCACCAGACAACACTGGCTTTCAGATTGCAATCAATACTCACCACAGTCTCAATAGTTCTTATTAATAGCCCAGAGTACAAAAGTAACATAAGAATCAGGGGGGGAAAAAAAAAAAAAAAAAAAAAAAAAAACCCCTTGAACATCCTGTCTGTGTAAAACTAAAAGCTACACAAATTTGTCACAGTTAATGCAAACCAGTCTGTGACTCTTGAAATGCTACACTCAACCCTGAACTCGGGTAACTGAAGAGCAGGTAAAGATGCGCAAAGCTACAAATAAGCCCGGCTTCAGTAAATTGTGAAGTGTATCTTCCTGGTTGCTCAGCACAGCTGTGAACTTCTGCCTTGGAGCGGTCTAGAAATGCTCCTACGTCTTGAATTACATAGTAAGCTCCTAAGGGAACTGCTGAAAGTATAGAGAATTTTTTAATTCACATAGCAGATTTCATTCAAATCTCTCAGCTTTGTACCAATGAAGAAATCAGTCAACTATATGACTTCCAGAACTGAGTGTGGTAAAATTTATCAAAAACCACCTTTGAGTACACAACTACCTTCCTCCTGACTTGAAGCTTCTGAACTGTCCTCCTTGAAGTGTTCTGGTGCCTTAACCGTCTTCAAAGAGGGTTGTAAGTTACCTGCAGAGAATAAAGTTCACGTAGTAACTTTATAGGTCTTCAACAACTACACAGTTCCTGAATGCTTGCACTAAACTGGAAACTAGGGAAATGGAAGACTGAACTTACTGGTTTGCGGGTGGCAATAATTTAAACATTATCTCCTTCAAAGCAGGCCATCTCCAAGAGTAAAGGCTCTATGGAGATACTTCTATTTTGAAATAAAGAGTGTGCAAAAACTATTTTAAATTCTTTTTAAAGCTGTGGTGCAATTTTGAAAGTTTGGAATTACAATTATAGTATTAGAAATTTACCTATTGTCCTGCACTTCATATTTTTCTTTTTATAATGTCTCTGTGTTACAGCAGGAAATGGGAGGAGATCAGCAATAGTTACTAGAATTCTTCTGCAACAAGTTACACTCTTCCATTGTCAAATGATTCACCTGCCGAAGGAGACTTAATTTGGGCTAAAGTCATAGTTTGGATGCACAATTTCTGTGTCCTTATGCTAGATGGCATGGAAAAAGAAGTGTCAATAACATTAACAGTTTTGTTGCAAAAATACCACGGCCATGCTCTGAAAAAGGACCTGGTTTAGTCTAACGCCGAGTCTACTCTTTTCCTCTCAAAAAGTTCCAAGTTAGTGCAGGTAAAAACATCCGAAAGCTGCTGCTTAAGAGCTTGAAATGTTGATAGGAAGATCTTTCGGAATATTGTCTGCACTGAAGACACTAAGTCCACAGAGAGGCTATAAAGTCTGTTGGAATCAAAAGTCTACTCCAACCTGGAAAAGTGTCTAAAATAACTGATATTATGAACCAGGAGGGAGCCAATTGATTTCCTCCTTAATGGAACCATGGCAGCATAATCAGGCGTACTGCATATATTATTCAGTGTGAGATTCCAACTATTATTTAGGGTATAAAGACTGAAAATAGTTTTACTAAAACCATTTCCCTCAGAAAGAGTGAATATTTTTGTATTTCCATCAGGAGATATTTTTATTCACAACTCTAAATAACAACTGAGGACAAATTTAAGCCAAAAATGCTTCGTGTCTGCCAATTAATTCTGCACATTTGACTTGAGAACTATGATGAGATACACTTCCTCCCCCCTCCCCCAACTTTGTCACCACATTCAAAATATGCCACCATGGGCTCACTTGCAATTGCAAATACCAGCAGGATTTCAGAATTCCAAACAGGAAACGTAGGAAAACACAGGAGCCACCAATGAACAAAAAAAGTTCTCCTGAGCTGCTTAACTGTGGTAGTTTTGGCAATGAGCAAGGTGAGTGCTTCTATCTTTGTGCAGCTTCTAAGAGCCTCCACCATAGGAAACGTGATTGTGAGCTACCCCAGACAAGTTATTCAGTTCCCCTTCTCAAAAGAAAACCAACTAAGCTTGAACTCCTCACTCAGGCCCTTGCTGGGGGTGCGCTGCAGCCCTGCCTGTGCCCAGTAACGTACCTTGCCAGTCTTGTTCCTAACCCTGACCTACTGAGGTGTATTTCTGTCTTGACCTCGGACCTGCCTCACTGCTTTGGACTTTTCTCATAATCACCAAGTTCTTGCCTGCCCCTGGTCCTAATCTTCCCCCACAGCAAGCTAAGCCCAGTGCTTTCTGTCTTATCCATGACAGAGAACAGATCGCCCTCTTTACGTTATGACTCTGGTATTTGAAGTTTGAAGTAATCTTCCACTGGAGTTTTTTCTCCTCTCTGCTAAACAACGAAGGTCCTCATGCTATCTGTCATGCACTCTCCATGTGACAAATCCTCATGAACTTTCATGCAGCCAATTATTTATCATTATTTTTAAAAAAAATTTAAATCTCTCATTTACATTCCCATTATAATCTGCAAGATTTCCTGCAGAACTGACATTTGTTCCTTTTATCCTTCTAATCCACCTACCCTGCAGATCACTTCTGTCCTGCACTAACCAAGACAAGTCTATTATGATGGATCCTGCCACTGGTTCTTTTTCAGATGATTTCAAATTATAGTCACATACCACAATGCATTTGCAAGTGTTTCCCACCTAGATCTATAGACTAAAACACGCACACCCTGTGCAGTGTCTCTATCATTAACAAGAATCTTTCCGGACTTTGGAAATTCCAGCCTTTCAGCACAACAGAAACTTAGCCGGTTTCACAACAACCTGGACCTCATTAGCTTAACATTTTCATGCAACTGCCATGGAATAACATCCTAAAAGTAACTAAAAACACAAAAAATGTCACAAAATGACCTATAGCTTTTACCCTAATCACAATGCCTCAATCTCATCATGGGAAGAAAATATTTGTCACAGATCATACATGTCATTTCAAATTAATGTCAGCCTCCATTCCTCTACTGTCTTCCAAGCGCACATGAACAACCTGTTTGAAAACTCCCAACTTACTCCTTACTAAGATATTCTGCAACTTCTAAAGCAGCAGCCTCACAGACAGTGCCTTAACTGTCACGGTATATAACATGCACCAAAAGAAGAAAACATTCAACACAAACAAAGATCACATCCGAAGTTATCCATAGAGAGAAGCTAAGCTTAGGCCGCACAAATGATTTGTAATACATGAGTAGGTCGGAGGTCCATCAAGGAAATCTCTGCAATGCAAATGCTCTCAACAAGATTCTGTATATTCTGAAATCTGGCCCACTCCATCATTTATGTACCAGCTACCCAAAACAAAATCTTAGTTTAAATATCAAGACAAATACTTCATCTAGAAAAGAAACCAAAAAAAAAAAAAAAGTGATTTTTTTGGGTCAGCTCAAGCTTTTTATTCCAAAGTTTAAGATTTCTTAAAAGGAAAAAGTCCCTAACTGCTGCACATACTAACAATTCATAATTATCTATTTTAACAGCATGATGGTTCAGAGGAGAAGAAAGAAAGAAAAGGACACACGCTGATGCTATATGGCATGTTCCCACTGCCAAATACGTGGGTATCTGCTGGAGCAACTATTCACTGTCAGGGAGCTCAAACAGGACCAGTGGAATACAATGAAAGATGAACACATTGCTACAAAACTGTAATTAGGCAGGACAGAAAGAATATAAAACAGCATTAGGATATTTCTTACTGTGAGTGTGCAAAGATTCTGATGAAATTGATTGGAAGAAGTTGTATACTCTCTGATTCTGCAGAAAAGCTTGCGATGTATTTGAAAATAGCTGCCTGAAATTTAAGAGAAAGTTTGTTAAACTGTAAGTAATATTCCATATAAAGAATACAAAAATTTACTACAATACCATTTAAGAACAAAGTAGTCAATTCTTTAGAAGTCCAACACTTGAAGTTGCACGTTCAGCATAAACAATGTTAAATGATACTTCTGAGCCTTGTTCAGGGCTACTATAAGGTCAGAATACAGCAAGTACAAGAAATCAGTACGTTGAAATTTTTTTAATTTAAAAGGTAGGTGCTTTTGAGCCATCCCAATTCAAACATTTTAGCCACCTGTAAGATTTTGTCAAAGAGGAGTTTGCACTGAGTCAAAAAGCACTAGTATTTCTAAATATACCCTTGTATAATGGAGGTAAGACCCTGGCAGAAGTGCCAATCATTGCTATATAATGCTGCTCTGGCCAAATACTTTCCTAACTGCGACTACTTCTAAAGAAGTAATCCACTAAAGTTTAACAAAAGTCTCAATTTAAAGAAAAAAGAAAAGGAGTCAAGAGTATCTATTTTACCACTGCTTTCCCATTTTCTTCAAATTGTCATTTGGCAGTAGAATTTCCACTGTCCCTAAAAGCCATCTAGTGACTTCAATCACTTCTCAGGTGATGCATTTGAGGTCATTTTCTAAAATACTTACCTGATTACGGGCTCAAGATCAGCATGCCTTCGTTCTTCCCTCTTCTGGAAACCCTGATTTAGTGCTCTTAAAATAGTCTTGTCAAATGCTTCAGAAGACAGTTCCTTTGGGAGCTGAGAAAAAAGTTAACGTGAAAAATGAGTAGATGACATTTTAAAGACTGTATTTGTCCACCATCACTCTTTATACATTTTGTATCAACAAGAAACTCCACTTTACTTGAGTAAAGTGATTTACAGACCAAAGGTACAAGAAATCATCATAATTCAGTTTTGCTAGAGAAACACTTTGCTGTAAACCCTCAAATCCAGGTGTAACACAGTTTAAAGCTCTATTTGAAAGAACTCCATTCAGGAATTTATCAATACTACGTTCTTTCTCAGCGTAATTTACAGCCTTTTTTGATTACTTCTTTACATCTTTCACACACAGAAAATAGGTCTGAAAATAACATGAAAAATTTCTGGGAAGGACTGAATGCATTGTACTCACTATCACCATTTAGCTAGATTAAATGCTTTTAAAGAAACAGGAGTAGAAATGAGACCTTTTCAGTTATATAACACCCAAGACTTCAGTGGGCAATATTGCGATTAATCAACAGCAGGTCTCTCTCCAGTTGCTATTAACACTGATACTTCTTAGGAAAATTCATTATAACTGTTCCAATGCCAGTATTACAAAGTGAGGTCTTCTGATCTTCTAGATCAGAAGGCAAAATTCTTGTTACTAAAGAGCATATCTATTTTAGATGAAAAATATTCCCCAGAACAAAGATTTTTCACATTTGTAAGTTCCAAAATAATATATTTCAGTACATCATGGCTGATCAAAATCGTTAATTTACATTTTTTCAAAAATAAACCATTTTAATTTGAGGGCAAGTTAAAGTAAACTGCACTAGAAAAAAAGTGCTTTTTCCTTAAGTTAAAAGCTATTGCTAATCTGGTTAACATCTGCCATCAGTATGATCAACAGCACCAAATAATTTACACTAGAACAGCATCTTTCTCTTGCATGTCTGGAATACATCCAGTCCAGAGCGCCAGCTGGGTGTTATACCCTGCTAGTGGTGGAACAGCAAAGCACCAAGTAATTCTCTCACTGAATGAACTGCTCCTAATGGAGAGATACTACGTCTAACGTAGATAATCGCTTGGTAACACACGTAAGTGGAGCTTCTGGAATCCAGACAGGCAGGTGCTGTTAGTATTTGATGAGCTCAGTGCTAGAGCACCCAAAGTTTACTAGATATAAAACCACAAAGAAGTGCTGAAAGCAGCTGCTCTTAACTGACCCCTTTGGCTTTAAATACGTGCTATTAAGGAACTCTGACTAAGGAATTAGTCAGGATTAACCAAAAGGTATCAAAAAGCTACTGTAGAAGCACTGGGGTGAGCTAACCTCCTATCCTGGCATTTTGTTTTTAAATATGTCTCCAGATACAGTCATAATCTCTTTTTCTTTAAAACTTTTCATTACAAGGAATTAAAGTCATTCTGTAGTTAAAGACTGAGTTATATGAGACCAAGGTTAGGTGCTCGACTTATGTGACCTTCAGGTAACGAGGCAGTCTTGTTACTTGCAAGCTTCTTAGTCCTTCCACATGCATGGGTAGGTTTTAATGCTTATCACCACAGAGAACGTGTTCTTTAATGTATCCAAGATATGCTTATATTTTTATATCTTAGTCTTTCCCCCCGATGCCTCTATTCTGAAACAATTTTCACAGTTATCATAGTCCTATCACCCATAACCTTGGAATTTCCTATCAAGTATTTTGACCATTCTTTTCTGTCCCTAGGAAACTGAGCATATTACTTAACAATGCCATGCAACAGAAAGCCAAAACTCGTGCACGTGAACTGGACAGCATTAATACTTCTACAATGGTTATCCTGCTTTATTTTTCTCCTGCTTCTCTACTTACAGCTATCAAACCAATACAAATCAAATACAGCTCTCCACACAACACCTAAGCAAGCCGCCGGCAGCCCGTGGTTATCCTCCTTTTGTCCTGCCATCTTCCACGTACCTAAACTAAGCCAGCACAGGGAACCCTGCACGTCTGAAGAGCCATTCAGCCAAGCTGGACAGCTCTAAAACTTCCTGGATCCTGTGTTTTCCTGGCTCCTCCTCCCCCCAGCAGCAAGCAGGTACTAGAAGGTCCATTTCACAAACTGGTTTTCATCTTTACAGGTGGGAGAACAGGAGGCACACAGCAGAACACTCATCCCAGAGCTGCACGGGCTCCTGTAGGACAGTCTTGCTTTTAAGGTTCTTTTCAGTGGCAGATGCACGTTCCCCATGTTGTAGGACACCCCATCTATAACTAGACTCTAGGATCTCTTGGAACTAGGTATTTCAGCTAAATTAAAACAGCAGTGAATACTCACTGCTCCATTTCTACAATGTTGGAAAACATAGAGTTGATAATTGAAACAGGGAACAGGACAACGACCTTTGTACGGCAACTGGCTTTCCACTTGCAATTAACAATTGCCATTGAGAATACCAGATGCCATCAAAATATGGCAAAACCAGATCTTTCTGGGAGGATCTGGCAAAACCAGATCTTTTGAGGACTATAAATACAGAATTTCCCAGAATAGGTGGAACCCAAAATATTAGACATTGGCAATGAAACACACAGTTGAAGGTCACCACAGTCACGGGGTCTACATGCAACCTACTCACCAAAATATGTCAAAACCAGATCTTTCTGGGTTTGAGGACTATAAATACAGAATTTCCCAGAATAGGTGGAACCCAAAATATTAGACATTGGCAATGAAACACACAGTTGAAGGTCACCACAGTCACGGGGTCTACATGCAACCTACTCACTCAGATGCATTCCCTGCTTGGGGCAGGAGGTGGAGAACAATTTAGGGAACTTTTATTTTTTTAAAACACACGCACACACAAGTAGTTGCTAGATGTAACAGTGAATACACCTGCCTTTGATCTACCAAAGAATACAACAGCAAAATTAAGAACTATTGTACTCATGGCTCTGCCACATTAATTAAAGCCAACAAATTATACTCTTCAGGTCATTCTAACAGGGACACCAATAAACATATGAGCAGTGCTTGTACCTATACATTAACTCTGTGGGGAATATTAAAAACTCTTTCAGTAGTTTTACGGCAGTTTAAAACTCTAAGAGCAATTTCAGGTGAGATAAATGTTCTATTCTATCTTCTCCCAGGAAACTCCCCAAACATTCTGATGAGCTGCTTCATCTGACAAGCTGCTCCACCACAGTATACGTGATTTAAATGGTTCATACACTTGTGAAGCACAAAAATCTAGCAGCCTGCTTTTGTTTCTGTAATTACCCCCCAGAAATCACAGGTCTCCTAGACTACTTTTGAAGTTACGAACCTGACACATAAACACTACTTTTATATTTCAATACATACTTTTAGCAGGAATTCCTGAAGCTCCTGGTGTGTTTTTGTTACACATGTTACTGAAAGATCGGACCAAGTTACCTAGTAAGGAAGGAAAAGAAAATTAAGAAAGTTTCTTGACATTTTTACATCTTTACATTTCCACGTATCTGACAATCTTAGCGTAAGAGTTAACACTTGCAGGTAAACACATACCAGGCAAAACAAGGACAATGGTGTACTTTTTCAAAGTATACTAATTTTGAAAGTACATTTTCAAATCATCTTCATGTTATTTGTGGCTGAAGGTAGTATGAACAAATTCAGGTAAATGCAATGAAGTCCCTGAAGATTACCGACTCAGAAAGAAGCCAGGCAGGAGGCTCTAATTACAGGACTTGTATCAAACAGACATCATTAATTGCAAAATCCAAGTACCAGAGAAAAGGACTGTAGGTCAGATATACTGGCTGAGCTCCCAGTGCTATTATCATGAGTCAGAAAAAAAAAAATCTCTTTTGTTTCTATTACTTATACAATAATTTCATCTGTCTCAGGCTTGAATCCTACAGGATCATATAGAAGTTATAGGGTACTATTCATAAAAAGTACTGCAGGTTACTAAAGAAGTCACTCAAGAATCAGACAGCATTTTAGCATATGCTTGTATATAACCTTCAGTAGCTTACTGTTCTGACACAACATGCAAGTAGTAAACCAGCATCTTCACATGCATACTTTGAGAAACAAAAAACAAGTCAGCTTGGGTGGATGAGCGCTGCCTGGCTCTAAGCCCACTTCAGGGCTTAAGATTCCCATTACATGCATGGGAAGATTCTGTGTACGAGGAGTAGACATGGCAATTATTAACATTCATTTAGTCCCAAGAACTGATAGAGTAATATCAACCATCAGCTGCCTTCAACTCAGTCCCCAGAAATGCCAGTTACTCTTGGTGGCCTCGGTTGGGAGCCAGGACTGTAACTGCTGTTATAACCTTAAAAAGCAGTGTCTGGGCAAGCACAAAATGATCTGCAGTGAGGAGCACAGTATATACCTGCACAGATGAGGAGAGGAAACTCTTTCCTAAAAGAACTGAGGTGGAGGAGTTTGAAGCTTACTCAAATACTTCCCAGAATATCTCCACATTCCCCCTTTAACAAAGAAATTCAAAACCACTGTCAAATCCATCTACATCCTAGATTTTCAAAATAGTTTTGTGACTTCAAATATTAATAGTCCATGTGGGCATTCTGTCCAAACCTCTCCTATCTACTACTTTGTACCTAGTACTCAGTTCACAGATTATTCAGACAAAAGAGCTATGACAAGGCTGAAATACCTGGGCAAGATAATCTTCAAGACTTTCGTATTACGGGTTTCAGCAAGAGAAGTCTGCAGAATTTTTTGCTAATTTCACCTTCAGATATGATCAACAACAAGGTACCCATTGCCACTACCTTACTTCAAAACCAGAAACAGTATATTTATCAATTGATCTCTAATTTTAAACTTCTGGTAATACCAGAAAAGACAAAACTCTAATTCACATCAATTTAAAGAATACAACAACAAACTTCAGGATGAACACATCAGTTTTCAACTCAAAATGGAATTTTTTTAAGTTTGCCTCTTCAATGAGGAATGACCTATGTCAAAAGGTCAGTTAAAATGTTTGATCTTAAACATTCTTTTGTTTGGGGACAAAAGGTAAAATTTAACTCTGCTTTCAAATCTATCAGACTTAGATCTAATGGCCAAACGACTCATAATGTTAGTCAGTCCTCACTAAGAGTATTACTACCTTGATTCAATTCAAAAATCACCACCAACGGCCTTAGCAGCTATTATTTAACACCTACCGTCTTTGATACTAGACCTCAATATCGAAAGCTTCTCTTCCAATGTAGTAAGAAGCTCTGTTTCAATTTTCTCTAAAATCCACTCACATTTTTTTTATATATATTGCCTCTGGCTAATATAATACATTACGACTATACCAGGTAGGCCTTTAAGTTTGTTGACCTTTTTAACTTGTTTATACCTTAACAAACAAACCAACCAACCCTCAAGTTTAGTCAAAAACCACAGAAGTCATCCTCTTACAGTAAACTTTCATGAAGCAGATTTAAGATGACCATACGACTCCGAGCTGCAGACACAAGGACTGGGTCCTATGCCACCTGAGCAAACAATCAAATCATTTCCGAATTCTTTGCAGTGCTTACCCCAAATTAGCAAAACCCAAGTCTCCTGGAGTGATGCCACACACCTGGCTATAGCTGGCATTTCACACCTTCCTACCTTATGCCCACAATTACATGAAACATCTAATCTGCACACAGAATCCAAGAGAAGTATAGGATAATTCCAAAAATCTCTGAAGACCCTAATGTAGTTCAAAATTGCCTTCTGAGCAGGTATTTAAAACAAGTTGTACGTATTTACATATAGATATCATGAAGACAACTGCTTTAATATTTCAGAGGTTATTTTCTTACTTTGAAGGTGTACTCCAAATGTTTGTCAGCCCTTTTTCTTGGTACTCCTTTCAGGGTTATCTTCTCAATGTGTACAGCTGAAAGAAAAACACCTTACTGTACATGCAAAAATTACAGCTTGTAAATGTATCTACTTACCTAGCCACTCTGAGAATCACAGTATGCTGTTTACTCACTCACCCACTCACCCCGCACACACTCTTTAATTTTACTACAACAAACTGCAGGGGGCAGGTGAATCCTTGTTCCCTCCAAACTATTTCTCTGGCCTGATCACAACCCCTTCACTGTGGACCATGGGAATCTGCCTTACCCAAGAGCTTATTTACACTGAAAGTCACATAAATACAACAATCTAACCACTGCAAGTGAAAGGACAATAAAAGGAAGTCAAATGGCATCTTCACTCCAAGAAGTAACAAGCGCGGAACAAAGCCAGTGACAGTGCCTTCCACATTCACGTTTCTGAAACGTTAAGTAGTAACGAGAGCAAACTAAGGCAGAAGAACCACATTTCTGAAAGGCACTGAGGTGGAAGGAAACACTTGGGGGAGGCCTGAAGGAGACAGAAATGAGTGTTAGCAAACAGAAAATGAAGAGCGGAAGCAGAAGGCTACTACAACCATAGTGTAAAGAACATCATTCAATTGAACTGAGAAGGAGAAAAGGCACTTCAGGTACTTGCTGCTTTAACATTCCTTCTCCACCGACTACTGTATTCAGCAATAGGCGAGTTCTGGCTGTGACCTGGTAAGCAGCAGCACCACACGGCTTTCAGGGCCTGGAGTTGTTCTTGAGGGCACATAATACTCTCCAGCTAATACTCTGTATAGAAATCTTTACGTAGATGAGATGGGCTTTTCACTTTTCTTGCTACGCTGGGCTAAGATTTCAACAGAATTTTATTCCTTTACATGCATGAACACATCTTCATATGTAATAAATTTTATTTAGAGAACAGTTTGACCAGCCCTACACCATCAATGCTTCCTTTCAGTGCTTCTGAAACTTCTTACATTTTGGGGAGAGGTGGGTGGTGTTTTAACTGCATGTTTACACAGGGCATATTGGGGACTACCCATAACAATAAAAAAAGTAATTAAACAAATTGGCCTCCTACAAGTGTGTTTCAAAGCTTACTCTTGGAGATTAGCTAGTTACCATTTCATCTATCTTAAACATCTGTAATGAATTTTGTTAAAGTCACAACTAAAGTATTATCCCTATAAAACTCGCCATTTCTAAGTATTGGCAATTTCCTTAGCAGACTAATAAGCCAGCATATACAAGCCTAGTGCTAGTGTTACAGCTTTCAACCTTGTAGTAGAAAGACACAAATACTGAGTGTGCTGGTGTACACTGGTTGTAACAGTCTACCTGGGAGTTAAAGTGCTAGATGATTACTTCATTTTTATCAGTTAACAAAGATTAACCATTACAAAGGAAAGAAATCTGAGATGAGCAAAGGATGCCAGATAGTAACATATCTCATGAAAAGCCAAATGTTTAGCAACCTTAATTTGTACCTATCTCATACATATAAAACCACTGATAGAAAAAAGAATATGGCATAACACGACTTTTAAGGCCAATGTTGAAACTGATACCATCAGTTGAGCTGATATTCATAAGTTAATTAAAAAGTTGACTCTCTGTGGTTTAAATTGCATCTCACCACATACATATATTTAGCATACATTATTATGGAAACTATCATTAACATTCACAGACAAGCTGCTTTTCTAATGACATTGTGTTTATTTTAAATTATTGAATGTTCTCAACGCTAAATATATTTGTCCTCAAGTATAAAGAAATTTTATTCCACAGTGTAGTACCTTAAACTTCCTTAACTTCTTTTTGTTGCTGTTGCACACCTCGTTTTAATAAGTGACGCAACAAGTAATTACAGTCTTGCTGCTGCACAGCTTTAGTTTCACAGTTTGAAGAAACCGCTTTAAAATTCTGTTTCCACAATCACAGTTTAAATATTCTAGAAGGCTAGATCAAGAAGAAATGTTTGAATATACAAGCCAATGAGGTGTGTTACATCTCTACATCTATTCTGGACACAACGCATGCATTCAGAAGGGTTAAGTCAAGCATGTATACACAGCACTGCTTCTGCTCTAAGTATAAGATTTCTAACAATCACATTCATCACAGCTGAGAATAAACCCCATGTTTTATTATCAGCACTATTTCTAACCCAGTAAGGAGATTTCTCTATCACACAGCTGTATAGCAAATACCACAGAATCACAGCATGTCAGGGTCTGGAAGGGACCTCAAAAGATCATCTAGTCCAGCCCCTGCCAGAGCAGGATCACCTACAGTAGGTCACACAGGAACACGTCCAGGTGGGTTTTGAATGTCTCCAGAGAAGGAGACTCCACAACCTCCCTGGGCAGCCTGTGCCAGGGCTCTGGCACCCTCACAGGGAAAAATACCACAAAACAATCCTCATCCTTCACTGTAGTTCCTACCTATTGTAATACAAATGCTGGGAAATATTTAAGCTCTTTGCTAGATTCAATTATTCAGCTTTTCTGTGCTTCTGTTATTTAACTCGAGAGCACTGCTAAAGACTGTCCCTTCTGTGTTCCAAATCTGTGAATATGAACACTTTGAACTCTGTAAAAGGATTTGAAAGAGGTTTGTTGACTGCAATCTGCCATAATCTTTCTCTGTGTTTTTTTTTGCAAGGAATTAAAACTCTCAAATTGTCTGTCTTCAAAGTGTAATTAAATCTCCACAGAAGCGACAAAAGGACATTTATGAAGACAAAGGAATAGCAATAGTTTTCCCAGATTGCCAGTTCTTCACTATCTGCAGGATAGCGTAGGCTAATTTGGAGTAGGCAAGTGATTCACTAACCTTGTTGGAGAATAAAGCGTAAGAATAAATCTGTTTTCAATGACGCTCATTTTTCTCAAAGATAAAAACCTGTGCTGGCAATTCCATAAAAGAGTTCTGCGTATGTTCTGAAGTCTTGTTCTCATTCTCCCCAACAGAGCCAAGAGATGACTGACTCCTGGAGAAAACCTCTCACTTCTCTATCATTTCTGTGTGCGTTTTTTCTTTATTTGTTTTTTAAGACTAACGAAACACAACCGAAACAAGCAGCAAAAGATATCCACAGCTTCACACTATCTTCATGTTTGGTTTTGCTTAAAAAAAAAATCTAAACACTGTTAATACAAATGCATTAATTTTTTTTTTTGTTTTCTCCAAAATTCCACCTTTTCTTTCAGGACGAAGTCCATTTGCAATCAATTTTCATTCATGCAGTCAGTACTAATTAGCAGCGAACAAGAATGACAACTTGTTATAATAAAGAAAAGACCAAGTAGGCAGCAGAGAAGCTACTACACATCAATCACTGCAGTTTCTCAATCAGAAGCACAGTAAGACAGATGCAAGATTTCTGTAATTCCAGAACAGTTTACTGTTCAAAAAAACCTTAAAGGATTCCTCAAATGAAACCTCAGACAACATACCTTCTCGCTGAGGTCTATGGGAAGCCATCGGTACTCCCTCGTGAGGTGCTGTGGTTCGTTCTAGCAAACTGGTCTCATTGCTTGACATGCAGTCACTATGGGAAAAGTCATTCTAAATTGAGAAGGGAAAAAAAAGGAAACGTCTTAATAGAACATGTATTACCAAAACCTGCTCTAAACAGTAGAAATAAAACTAAAACAAAAGCCAAAACCAAAAACCAAAAGCAGAAAGTTCTTTATTTGGTATTCTACAGGAGGAAATACCTGAAGTTCTTAACAGTGGCAAAAAGGTGGTCATCAGCCATTTCAGTTCTTTATTTCAGCTATAACTTCCAGTGTTTCACTGATCTATTTTAAAAGTAGAACAGGGTGAGGGCCAGATCACGTGCCTTTAAGGTATCTCAAAGTGGACAATTCAAGATCATTAATTCAGAATTTCAGTGCTAATTTACTGTTAGTATGACCCCTTTCAGTTAGTAACTTGTGAAGTCATCTACTCGCTCCATACTAAACATATTTTCCACCATTATATTCACATCTTGTATCTTCATCCTGTGATCTCTTCTATATAGGAAATCATGAATAACTGTTTGGACCATCTATAAGGACATGGTCCCAAGAGGTAAATCCACTCACTTCTTACTAACTAAACATATAGAATTCAACCAGTTGCCACCAACACCCTCTCCTTCCACAGAGAAATGCACGAAATTGAGCTCATCTCCCCCCACATTTGCATGCAGACTTCAAAATGATATGTCAAGAATTATTATTGTTTTAATAAATTACATAAGGAGAGATAGAACGAGAAATTCAAGACAGATAACATGGACAGATAAGTAAGAGAAGTAAGAATAAAGGAAGCTAACAACGATAAATTGGAGAAAAGAATTAGATGGGCATGGACTTCAGGTGGTTTCTCTAGGGTAATAACAAAAGCCTATAAAAATTTTCCCAAGTCAGGATAAAACATTAATGTATCAATTTGTATGTTCTTCAATGATCAGGTCGTATTTAAAACAAACACCTGAGCAACCAAGCTAATATTCAGAAATGCTTTAAGAAGTCCAACGACTTTAGATGCAACTGGTTTTGCTAGTTGACCAGTATAATTCCACATTTCAAGGAAACAACATTGTGTTAAAAAGATACATCCACAAAGAACTAGAAATACTGGAAGTTACTAGCAAGTTTCTGGATTAATCTATTTTAAGCAAGGCACTTCTATATATGTCTAACAAGTAGTAAACACATGAGCTTAGCAAATGCCTAAATGCCAGCAACATGCAAATACGATACTGACAACAGCAGTGCAGAGGGGGAAAGAAGGTGGTTCTCTGTTTAGCATCACAATCAACCCAATTCTATTTTTTAACACTGGAAGCTAAAACTGAGGGCAGGTTTCTTGGGAAGCCTTTCAAAAGCAGCAAGTTAAATAGAGGACATTCAGTGCACCACAAATACGTAGCAACTGGTCTGCAAGAAAACCAGAAGGTATAGAAATATCTATCTTATTGGTAGCTCTATAAAACAAACAGAATTCCTGGGAGAAAATGGATACTTTTTGGAGCAGATGTATTTTGAAAGTTCAAAGTCTGTTCCTTTCATTAAGGACGAGGTGGTATCCCCCAGGGCTCCACGCTGAGGCTGGTGCTGTTTAATATCTTCATCAACGGTACAGACAGTGGGATCAAATGCACCCTCACCAAGTCTGCAGGGGGACCCGGATAAACTGGAGAAGTAGACCCATGTGAACTTCATCAAGTTCAATAAGGCCAAGTGTAAGGTCCCACACCTGGGTCGGGGCAATCCTCACTATCAATACAGGCTGGGGAATGAGGTGATAGAGAGAAGCCCTGTGGAAAAGGACTTGGGAATCCTGGTGGACAAAAAGCCAACAATGTGAGCCACCAATGCGCACTCGCAGCCCAAAAGGCCAGTTGCATCGTGGGCTGCATCAGAAGAAGCACGGCCAGCAGGTCAGGAGAGGTGATTCTGCCCCTCTGCTCTGCTCTGGTGAGACCTCACCTGCAGTACTGCGTCCCGCTCTGGAGTCCCCAACACAAAAAGGACATGGACCTATTGGAGAGTGTCCAGAGGAGGCCACAAAGACGATCAGAGCGCTGGAGCACCTCTCCTATGAGGACAGGCTCAAAGAGTTGGGGTTGCTCAGGCTGGAGAAGAGAACACTCCAGGGACACCTTCTAGCAGCATTCCAGTACCTGAAGGGGCTACAGGAAAACTGGGGAGGGACTGTTCACAAGGGTGTGTAGGGATAGGGGAAGGGGCAGTGGCTTTAAACTAAAGCAGGGTACATTTATGTTCCATGTTAGGAAGAAGTTCTTTACAATGAGGGTGGTGAGACATTGGACCAGGTTGCCCAGAGAGGTGGTGGAGGCCCCATCCCTGGAGACATTCGAGGTCAGGCTGGATGGGGCTGGAGCACCCTGATCCAGTTAAAGATGTCCCTACTTACTGCAGCAGGGCTGAACTAAATTACCTTTAAAGATCCCTTCCAGCCCAACACATTCTATGATTCTATGAAGAACACTGCTCCACTGAAAGACCTTCATAAAAGATGAGTAGAGGAAAAATGCAGATCTGACTTGTGAATATAGGAAGCATAAGATTCTGGAAATATATGTTAATTTCTTTTTTTTCTTGAAAGATTTGTGCAACATGATGGACCAAACCAGCAGCCATGACTAGTTACCTAGTTTGACACAGAGGACCCCAAAACTGTCACAACTGCCAGAATGAGGAAGCACTGAGGTAATAAAAGGCATCAGAATCACCTTGCAGTTTGTGAATTCTCCAGTGAACTTCAGATCTGACATAGGTACCAGCTAAAGCTGGCTTCACCTCACTAAACCAGTTAACATCATATATAGCATGGGTACAAACTGTGCAACTCCTAACTACACATTCAATTAATTTAGGACTCAGCAAGTGTAGAGGTATCAAGCCTGCCCTTGTCATACTGTTAGTTTAATTTTCATCCATCACATCAACAGCAGTACACCCTTAGCAAGTGAACGTGCCTTTAGAACACACTACAGACGGTTTGAGGAACTGAATGACATTTTAGATCTTTCATCTAAATCAGTATATGGTTTGTGTTCTACACTGAGTATCAGTAATTTCAGGTTTTAAAGCAATTTAAAATATAGAGCATGCTTTGTTTCCTCAAGATAAAACTCACACCAGACCCTAGTCACTCACTAAACAAGCTCAGCAAACTTAACTGATCAAAACAGTATTTCATGCTTCAAACATCTAAGAAACTATGAGCACAATGTCAGACTTGGAATAAAGAAAGGAAAATAGCTGTATATCAATGTGATTGCATTTTAACAGCTTTAGCAAATTTTCAAGTTTAGTTTAATTTTAAAAAAATAAAAACAACAACCCACAAGCATGCTCTGGAGAGAGCCACTTTCAGATCTCTTCAACATTCTCATTGATACTAATTTGTCAGACATTTCATAACAGCTGTGGATATAACCAAACCCAAGTACTCCACTTTTTAAGTGTTAATGCTAGGTCATGCATTAGTCACAAAACTGCTGGCATATGAGCATTAGTTACCCTGTTAAAACTGTGATTCATTCAAAACTGTCCTTAAAAAAACCCTACTACCATGATTAACTGGCTGTGCCCAAACTGCATAAGCTACCAAGTTTAGCACATACTTTGGTATGAGAGTGAACATTTTCTTGACATGAAACCAAATAACTGAACCAAGATTTCTAGCATAAATCAAAGTCAATTCTCCAGCAGAGGTAAGGTCTTCCTTAAGCTACAGCCAAATGCTTTTCCAATAAAAGCTCCAATATCTTTCTTCCATGCTGCATATAGAACACAACAGACATTTGGATTAACTCTGAGAGACTCTTGAACCATTTAATTTGTTTTACTTTTCTAAGGTGTCTTTTCCCACCTCTGAAATCATCAGTGGAAGAGCTGAAGGCAGCACTTCATTAATTTTAAGGAACAAACTGAGACTTGCACAATTGCGCTTTTTTAATATTCATAAATGGATCTAAAACTCATCAAATTTTAAGTCACACTTCCTTTAGCATTCAAAGTCAGGCTATTTGTTTTGATTAATGAAAAAATAAAGTGTAGTCTACTCTAATAAATAATTGCTCATTAAAAAGTCAAAGAAACTGTGAGCAGTTCTCAGAAGAGAGGTGGGGAAGTATATTCAAAGATGTATTCTGTTCTGCTCATGTCAAAAAAGCACTAAATATTGCTGCTATACCTCCTAAGACTAGAAACCTGTTTCTCACCTAGAATATAAACCATCTTTGTAACAGTGTTCAAACATTTTTGCAGAGAATTATTCTGGAATGGCTGCTTTACTATCCATGGTAGTATTCTGTACCAGGTGAACTAAATCCACATTTGAAGCTTTAGTCTAAATTACAAAATATTACATAGCTCAAATCTGCATTTAAAGAAGTCCTGATATCAATGATTTTATAAATTATCATTAACTGCAAAAAAAGTTCATAATTAATTCATTTGAAAAATTTTTCACCTAGAAAGTTGCAGGTATTCTGTTAATGATAGCTTTCAGAGTCCCCCATAGCAGAGAGGAGGGTAATCCAAGGCAGCCACAGCTGTGCCTTAGAGCTTAGAGCCTCCCAACAGTTGTTTCTGTGCCAGCCCCAGATCCTATCTTAACCTGCACTGCAACTCTTCACATTTAGTACTAGCTACTGTCACAGCCTTACATCAAACACAAGTGACTAAAACACAAGTGGTATGGTCAGAGTGGACAACTCTAGCCTGCACACGACTGGAAAGTCAAAGCAGTCTGGAGGGTCAGTGAACATTAAGGGTGATATCGTGGGTTGCTACCTGGCCCTAATCAGGCCACGAACACAAGTCCTTTAAGACTGGGTGCACCACTGATGAGTTGGTCATGCTGTATAGCACTAATTGTGCTCGCTGTCATCTGTCAATGGATAAAATGTACTCACACAACACATAAAAGCACAAGGTCAACTCTTGTATAAATCTTTGTCACCGTAAAGCTTTCACATACAAAGATCCACTGCAGCTCACAGTGCTGCTGCTGCTAATGATTAAAATACAGCG